ATAGTTCTACATCAATCTAAATCTACTATATTTTTAACTAGGATCAACAAAAACTAAGAAGCCAGATCTCCAAATCTCCAGGATTCTAACTGTCAAGAACAAAGAAAAACACATGATGCAATGTTGTTAGATTGTAATAATGTGTTCTATCTAAGAAAAGAATTTGCAGAAAGCATGCAAACAGAAGTCATAAATCTTGTGTAAACATAATTAGTAGCCTGAAAATTCTCCGAGAGTGCTGATGCTTTTTGCTTAAGATATTAACATAATTAGTACAAATGTAAAATGAGAGGGAGAAGAAATGGATATGAATCATGCTACATCGATGTTATACCTTGTCCACTTCCTTGACAGAATGTCATGTGACATTCTATCATTGATTATTTAAAATACAATCAGTTTTTGTATCCAATCATCTGCTACCAACACTGCATCTGCCAAATAGATGGACAAAATCATCTGGCAAAATGTCTTAACTTTAATCTCGAGGAATGGAGTTCTTGTCGTGTAACAAATTTGATAGTGATATGACCTTGAAAGGTGGGGGGCTATTGGGATGGGTGAGAGATAATGGAATTTGATTCTATCGAGTCGAGGCAAGAAAAAAGTGGAATAGTACACTGAAGAGCCTACAGCTTGAAATATAGCAGCTTTTATCAATAGGCAAAAAGGATTTACATATTATTTTCTTGTTTGCATTTGTATTGTCAATTTGTAGGGAACCCTTTTCTTGATGGTCTCTTTAATTCACTACCAGTATAAAAATGAAAGCTCTTTCCATTCCCTTCTTCTGTTCAGAACCCACTAAATAATTTGGTTGAATCTGCAAGTTATGGGGTTGGTGGGTAGTTTTGTGTGGGTGCACAAATATGGGAAGAAGCAATGCAGAAGGGTGTTCTGGAGAATGAGAGCAGCAGCAAAGAAGGCAGTCAGAAACAGAGGCAAACAGCAAATCAATTTTCAGTATGATCCTTCCAGTTATGCTTTGAATTTTGATGATGGCCGTCAAGAAATGGGGACTGCATTTCACAAGCCTGATTTCCAGAACTATTCAAAGAATACTATCTGGATTATATATGTTCTCTGGGTGGAAATGGAGGCAGAGAAATTATGAGTTAGAATCTGTCAGCAGTTTCTAATAGTTATTATGATTTATGGGCTTAATCTTACTGTCATCCTTTTGTGTAAGCCAGACTTTTATGCTGAAATTCAAAGAAATATATGCAGTTACTGTTTTAACTTCAAAGAGCTAAATATGGAGGCAACAATTTTCATTCTTGATTTACAATAATCTCACAATTTGTAGTAGACACAAGCCTCAACTTCATTTTATATAGTAATAAGTTTCAGATACGGCCTTTTGAGGAGTACCAAAATTTATGATGGATTTCGTAACAAGACCAGGTTAAAATTACCCACGTTTTAATTTGAGATTGTTCCATGTTAAATTCGGTCCTAAAATCTTATTTGTTATACAGATTTTGTCTGTTACCAATGCAGCAAACAGGCACTAAGTTTACAGAGAACAAGGCTGTAATAATGCTGGTAGAGATTATAACAGTGAAATTATGATAACAGATATCTATTAATTGAGACGGCAATGACAATAATATCTATCGGACAGAGAACTGAAGAAGGTAAAATTAGGAATTTGGATGTCTCAAAGATAATTCTAGAATTTCTAGTTTATTATTTTACATAAAATAACAAATAAATCCACAATCTTGATCATATACACTCTCTAGACGAGCAACGGCCAAACTCTGCGCGGATAAACACTACCAGTGTATCACAAATTTTCATAAGCACGATATATGCTAATCACTAAATCATCTGAAAGGTTTTCCAAACAGAAGTACATGGTTTTTGAGTTTTCCATCATTTTCTTTAGATGGCAACACCAGAAAGACAAACCGGTATCATACAGACAGCGTCAGTCTTTGCCTTCAAACAGCAGGATCTTCAAGTGCTCCCGTAGATAAATCATTTATTCGAGGACAAGCAGCTTTCTCGTCGAGTTGATTTTGCACCCATGTTAGCATCTTCAATAAGCTCGGAAGCTTTGGATCTGTTAAAATCATAGTAACTTTAATTATTATATTTTTAGCGTAGGATGAAATGATGCATTGGATACTCTGCAATGAAAACACAATCACAGCTGAAACCTAAGAATGTACATCAAATGTGAAATTGCCTACTTGTCAAATCCAGAAAGTTAGGGTGCAGAGGCAAACCTCTCTGTGATGGATATCTCGGGTAATAAATGGTCTAGTTGTATGAGTAATTGGATTACATTGAGTAGAACATAAAACAAAATTGGATTATGTTGAATAGAACATAAAACAAAAAATTAGTTACGACTTGAAAATGCTGCTATTACTATTCACTACCATGGGCAACGAAATCATAGAGAGACCAGTAAAAGGTTCCAAAATATTCCCCCTTTAAGAGGCAGACTAATACAAGCATACACCACCACCTCTAAGATTGATGTCCTTTCTTCACTCATTGGTCACCATTCCCCGCTGCCAATAGACCTCCATATACAGCATCTACATAGGTCCAAACGGGCTGTCTATTGTGTGAGGTGGTAGGCCATGAAATACCAGTGGATAAATTCTTTTTCATTTAAAATTAGTCTCACAGTCTCACTTAGATCTGCATGTTCTTTAATCTGAAACTAGTAAATTGGGTTTTGATGCTGCAAGTAAAGAAAAAAAATTATTCGCCAGCAAAACGAACCAGCATTCAAAGTTCCAATTCACTGACAACCACTCTCTACCTGCTCCATCTACCACTGCCAATCTATCACAAAACCTTACGGTTCACAAGACATTTAAGCCATTGCAGTGATTACTGTTGAAGCATTTCCAAATTGGTCTATGAATTTTCCAGGTAGTCTTAATACTTGTCAGATTTTGACAGGAAAATCTTTGGTCTAATTTACTAATCCACATGCCATGAATGGATCTGCCCAAGCTTGGAGTTGGGCGGCTGGGTTAGTTCGGTTGAACAGGAAGCTTGTTAAAAATACAAGGTAGATATTTAATGACTAACCCTTGTTTTAAACAAATGGCTTATCCAAACCAAATATAAAGAATGTAAACTTTTTCCACCACAATGTCTGTCCACACTCAAATCTGTGTTGAACAAAAAAATATAAATGATACATTAGCGGTCCTTTCTCAGAGTTTAGCTTTTAAATCAAGTGGTTCAACATCATATCAGAGCTGAAAAAGTTCACGAGTTTAAGTTTTGATGTCTCCATTTAATGAAATTGTGCACGTGTAAGGCTTTGATGGCCAAAAATTGAACTCTACATACATGTGGGGGAACATTTTGGAGATACAATTAAAACGATATTTATGGAGATCATAACAGGAATAAAGATAGAGACATATTTTGGTGTAAGGTTGATGGGTGTAAAGGTGGCGGTTGGTTTGGTGTCAAGTTGTTGTAAGGTTGCAGATAGATACAGCTGGTTGCGGGGTGGAGAGGTTGAATTTGTTGGTCAAAGGAAACGACTCTAATACCAAATTGATGTAGGATGCGTATAATTTGACTAATGAACAATTAGAAACCAAAAGAGAAAGGGATGAAAAAAAAAATTGAGAGCAAGAGGAAAATCAATCTTTATTCATATAATTCTTCTCCTTTGCACTCTTTTCTCTTTTGGTTTGTAATTGTTTATGGTCAAATTATACGCATCCTGCGTCAGATATACACGCGGAACATTTTAACAACTTAAGTTTTTAAGTCAAGTGATTAACAATTTGGCTATATATTCAAAACCTTCTTACCATTTTCTTACTACAACCTAAAGCTTGCAAAAATTCAGCCAGGACTATCAAACAGGAGGTTACAAACCACAATCCTTGGAATTTTATTTGTTAAACGATATCATATAGTTTAAAACAATTTTAAATATATATGCCAAAAAATTATCTTCCCTTGAACCAAATGAAATCAAAACTCAAGAATATTTAAAATGAATAGGCACAAACCTTTTTCGTGGCTCTGACTGGTAAGAATGGCAGCATTCACCTCACTAGCAGTCTTAAGGCGCTGTGATATGTCTAACAACTCGCCGACAGGGCAGTTGGAGACGTCTTCAAAAGCAAGCAATGCAACTGTCCTCTCCAATTCTTCTAAAAAGCTTTGCTGAAATTATGGTTATTCTTCAGAATCAGTATAGGGAAAAAATTGAATAATTACGATATACAAAGGAACTTTTAAGCAACATCAAATAAAGGCAGTTAAAAGATCCCCCAGACATGAAACTGCATTTCACAATGACAAATCTCATTGGTGAAAACTAGGATTAGCTTCAATAAGACTACGAGGAAAAATGTAAAAGTATATTCAACAAGCTTCAAATTACATTTTCCTCTCCCCGTGGAGCAAGTTCCTCTTGAGCGAACTCCAAAGCCTCTTCTACCTTTCCGTTCCGAATTAATTCTATCAACCTTTGCTGTTGGAGATGGAAAAAGAGTTGTGGATTTGTATCCAAGATCTACATCCAAAAAAATAATTGATATGTATCATAATTGAAAAAAACCAATAAAATAAATAAAATCCAAGAAATTCTTATAATTGTAACCATAGAATTTGTCAAGCACAAAACTATATCACAAGTTCTAGTGGAAATATCTTGAATAGTTAGTTTAAATTCCGTTTGACAATAATGTACTATAATACTCAGAGAAAAGTAGAAAACCAATAGGCCAGATGCAATGGAAACCATGCAGCTGTATGAATAAAATGTCAACATCAAATTTCCTCCGGGCACTTAATCAATGCCAAAAAGTACACAATTTACTTAACGAAGTTTTAAATTTTCATATACACAGGTTTTTCAACCCCGTGAACCTAAGCTTCAAAGTTATCAACAATCACAAACGACGGAAAAGTGATGGAATCTTTATTTGGTTTCATTTACATATTTATAGCAAGTGGCAGCATCACAAACAAACATACAGCCCTTTGTGAGGCCATAATTAAAATTAAAACCTCAATGACGCATCTAAATTTTGGTATTAAAGACCCCTTTCTTACTCTTAACCCTTGTAATTGCTACATATGATATAGACTACCACCACAGCTCCTCTGCATTGGGTTAAGCCTTCTGATAGGTACATAAGATATTCCAATTCAACACTAGAAGGAAAATAAAATGGTATAAAGAAACAAAACTGTTTTCATGAAGTCCAGATATCTGAATGAACTAGATGAAAACCCATCACATTCCAGGAAAAAATCTACTACACTTCAAAGATGGTCTCTATTTCTATGATCACTAGCAATCCAAGAGCACATCAAAATCAACTAAGCAAGATGGCAACAAAGTTTGAGAACATCATATCTGAAACCACAAAGGGATATGTTATCACACCTCGGGATTCAAATCATTAACTTTTTCAATGGCATCCTCCATGTTACCACACTGTACTGCCTTCTTAACTGCCATGCGATCCGTTATAGTGGCAAGGTCTATGTCAGCTATATAACCATAAGGAAAATCAACAATGTGCTTAAAGCTGAGATGCAACCAAAAATTCTACCACGGAACAATAAAAGACAAACATATTGATATAAGTGAAACAGGCAATGAAATAATTAAAAGGGGATACGCTCTGTCCCAGATTCCAATCTGAATTTTTCTGCAGCTTCCACGTATCCCTCAGTGACCAGAAAATTCATCACCAATTTATTCATATCCTCTTTTCTTAATTTTACATTGTCGAGTCTCTTCTCCCATTCTTCCCTAGTTATAACTTTCTTCGATGTGGCCTGTAAAATTAAACAAATTTCACAAAATAAATGCTTTGCCAGTTGAGATCAAAAAATTTCTATTGTTCTGCATAATAACTAACGAGCTTAAAAAATAATTCAAGGTACAAATATAATCCTGAATTGGCATCATATAAACCCTAAATTAATGAAAAACATTCCTTATAACTCGCGCAGACATGATAAATCATCAATTAGATTATACAAAAACTTGTAAATAATCAAACTTTTCGACCAGGTACTAACCAAAATGCGTCATCAATACACCAAAAAGAGAACGGGAAAAACCCCATAAAGATAAATCTAAAATCACAGCTTGTGTTTAGATCCTTACACATGGATCGTGGCTTCAATTTTAAAAATCGAGACCAATTACCCTCTCAAAGAATAATAATCATAAGAACATAAATTAATTGAACAGAAGGAACAAAAAGAAGCGAAAATACTAATGGAAAACGTGTCCTTTTCCTTTGGCTGGGCGATTACCATGGTTTCGATTTCAACGAGATGGCGTATGGCATGTAGGAGATATGACATCAGTATTGAGCACTCGGCGCCTCCACGCCCATATAAAACTAAAATCTAATTCTTTAACTGGAATTTTACTCTGTTAAACTCTTTATTTTATCGAGTAAAGTGTATTATGGTTCCAACGCAGTGGATAAACAATAAACAACTCAACCCAGTCCTGGTGAAGAGAGGAAAGCCCGTTGATGTGCATTTTGATATTCCTGTAAATACCCTTGCAATTTTATTTTTATTTTTTTAGCCCCATTTTCTGATAAAATAAATTTTAAAATAGTGACTTTTTTGAGAATATTTGATTGAAAAATAAGAAATTTTTTTAGGTTTACGTGTACAATTATTTTATTAATGGAGTGTGTGATTGAAAATGAGTTTGAAAAAAAATGAGACTTAAATAATGGCACGTTTAATTGTCAGCACGAAATCTGTATTGTGAGAAAATAAATTTTAGACAATTCAATTCAATTACCTAAAACTTATTTGTATGAAAATTATTCATTAAATATGTTTGATTGATTTAATTTTTAATTTAGAGGGTGTTTGATACCAATTTTTATGGAAAAATGAATTTTAGAATATTAGATTGATGGAGAATGTGTGGATGAAAAAAAAGAAAATTTTCGATTTACGTGTAATATTATTTTAATGAAGAATGTATGGTTAAAAAGAAGAATGTATTTTAAGAAAAATGGAAATCAAATGGGGCATTAGAAAATATTATACTTGTTCATTTTTTATCAATAAAAAAATATTGAACCCCAATCTTGAAGACTCCCACCGCCTCTCCCTTGAAGTATCGTGAGGGAGGTAAATCACATGATGTACTTTGGCAGGATAGGAAGCAAGAGCTTGCCCGTACACTGGTGCCCACGAAGAATCCAATTCCATATCTCAGGAATCGAACCCTCACACTGCGGCTGTCAGCAAAACTGATACTATCCTACTCCTGTCCTTTGTAACACTAGATTATGCCCCGGTGCTCATTTTTTATTGATAAGTAGATGAGAGGAAGAAAGACAAGGAAAAAGTGAATTACTTGAAAAATAAAAACCACTTCTTTTATAAAGAAAATAAGGAAATATGGTCACGGGATTAAAAAAGTTGAAAAATACTTTTCATTAAAAAAATTGTCAATCAAACAACTAAAAAAAGTAAAAAATTGGACGAAAAAATAACATTTTTCATGAAAAATAAAGTCAATTAAACATGCTATAATAAAAAACGAAGGATAAAGATAAGCTAAACGAAGACTATGATGAGCCCAAGATAGTGATAGAACCGAGAATTGTAATCTCATATATGATCAGTAGTGTGAATTGGAAAATAAATTCGTTCTTAAAAACTTGATACGGTATTATCATGCTTATAAGTTTTAAGAGAATCAACTTTTACCATGGTGTAAAAATAATTGGTCACATGAAGAATTAATTAAGTGTTTGGTAACCTTTTGTTTCACACTCCCATATAGAGTTTTACAGAGAAGAAAATCTGAGAAGGTATCCAATTTGATCTTGACAATTGTCTATATCTTGAGCAATTTGTACCAGAAGTTTTCAGATGAAAACTTTTACTATAACGTATGCATCATATACCAGAGAAAGTATATATCTTTCACTAGAATGGAAAGAAAATTTTAGGCCTATAGAGACTATCAAACACAATTGTTTCAATTTTCATCAAGTTTCATAAACGTTTCCGATCAACATTCGAACTCTGTAGTGTATCAAGATAGATGTATATTTATGTGACATAAAAATAAAAAACGAATGAATACTAGTCCGTTCACATTCAATTTCTTCAGCATCTATCATTTAGCCACTTCAATATATGGCCACGAACAATT